TCGGCCCACGGCAGACACCGCTACCCCTCTGCAGGCTGGAGCCTGTTCCTTTTCGCTTTGCTTTGCTTTCACCTGCAAAGGAGAGGCACACAGCACTCATGGTGACCTGCCTTACAGAGAAAGATGGGACCAGTGTGGAGGACTGAAGGGGCTCAGGGCTTCTGCAGCCAGGGAAGGAGCAGCTGGAGTGGCGGTCGCTCCTGGCGTTGGCCTCCCGTTCTCAAACCTCCAGCTGTAGCATGGCCAGCACCCACCTGCCTCTGAGGCAGGCCTGGGCCTCTGGTGGCTGCCCCTTTTGTTGGCTTCCCCATGTATATCTTAACCCCCTTTCATGCTGCCTCCCACACAAAGATGGGCTTCTAAGTTCCAGCTCCCTTTTCCTGTCAGTCTAGTTCCCTCAAGAAGCTTCCCAGCAACTACAGTGCTGGGTTCTATCCCAACCCTTCTTTCCCCCTTTTGTTGTGGGCAGTTTCATGTTCTTAGAGAAAGAGCAGCACTGTGCGCCTCTTTGTCTGGTCTTTGGTCAGATTCTGCTGCTGTATGTGTGTGGCATTTGACACTTAAACCTTTGGCCTCCTGCAAAAACGAGTGTGGGGGCTTTGGGCCCTGAACGGGCAGGGCTTGCTGCGTCAAGCACACCTGGCTGTGGCTGGTACCGGTGGCGGTTTGTGCGTTCGGGTACAGACACGGGTCCTTCCCAGACAAAGTTGGTATAAATCAGATTGCTTCCAAGAGCGCTCATGATTTAAAGACTCCAGGGAAAGCCCTTTTTTGATATGGGGATTTCTCCCTGGCTGATAATTTGCATATTTGAATGGTTTGGCAAAGAGGGGAACATCACCCTTCCCCCCTCAATTCCCAGTCCCCCTTTCTCCACCTTAGACAGGAGCGAGTGGGAGGGAGCCCCGGCAGCTGTGACAGGACACGAGGGTGGTGCGGCCGCTGCAGGAAGGGCCAGGTGTCCAGGCTTACGGAGTTAGCGTTACCCCAGACGTGATGCGTGTGCATATTTTTACTGTAGGGCAGGAGTCAGCCAAGCCTGTCTGCATCGCTCCTAATTATATCTGGTAGGTCATTCAGCCTCTGCAAGTCCTGGAAACTAGTGGGGAGTTTTAACAGCAAAATGCAGTGACCCCAGAATATCCTGAAGCTTATGTGGGTTGTGTCTTTGTTTTGCCAAGGACAGGGCAGATCGGTGTGTACAGACCTTTCTCAGATGGGAGGGTTGAATTCATTGTTCATTGTCTGCTCTGAGGCCTCCAGTCACTCAGACTTACTGGTGTTTCCCTGTCAGGAGGCCAGCGGAAGCCCTCCCTCCCCTACCACAGAGCTGCTGGCACCAGGAACACTGTAAAATGTGTCGTCTGAGAGCAGGGAAGCCTCACGTAGCGTAGTAGGCTGTTTAAAGCTGCTAACCTGGGACATTGTGGGTCCAGCCCAGCAGGTCATTTTCATCAGTCTGAGCAGACCTTTCAATGATTTTAAAAGGAGTAAACTGTCTTTCATTGGAAGGGTGCAAGCAGAATCCCACACCTCTACCTCATTCCCAGGGGGTCAGAAAGATCGATATGTAGAATCTAGAATCTGGAAGCGGGAGCCGGGCCTTTATGTTGTTTGTAGATGTCTATCCGGGAAGTGCAGACATGGTTCGGCCCTAGGAATCCAAAACCTGCACATTTTCTAGGGTACTGTTTTCTTCAACATGATTGATGGTTTAAAAAAAAAATGTTTTTAATATGTTTATTGATTTTGGAGAGAGAGAAAGGGAGAGAGACAGGGAGAGAAACATTGATATGAGAGAGAAACAAACATCTATTGGTTGCCTCTCATACATGCCCCTGCCAGGGGTTAAACCCACAACCTAGGTATGTGCCCTGGAGGGGAATTGAACCCCTAAATTTTTGGTGTATGGGACAACACTCCAGCCAACTGAGCCACACTGGCCAGGGTCAACGTGATTAATGTTTTAAAAATGGTCTATCTACAGCAATCATTACTTTAAGGAGTCTTGCCTGATTGTCTCTACCCCAGTTGACTTCTCCCTTTTCTTCACATTTTGTAGCATCTTATGCATAATTTAAAATGAACTCTCGTGGACGACTTCTTTTTCTTTTCTTTCACACGTATCTGTCTTAGTTCTCATAATAAACTTGTATAGCGCAGCCCTGACTGGTGTGGCTCAGTGGATTGGGCATCAGAGGTCCCCGGTTAGATTTCCGGTCAAGGCACATGCCTAGGCTATGGCCAGGTTCCTGGCTGGGAACTTGTGAGAGGCGACTGATTGTTTCTCTCGCACATCAACGTTTCTCTCCCTCTTTCTCCCTTGCTTCCCCTCTCTCTAAAAATAAATAAATGAAAGCTTTTAAACAAAAAACAAAAAAACTTGTAAAAGATAGGCTGAAAAGTAGGATTTGTCAGGCAGATAAGTGAGATTATGAAGGGACTGCTTATCCAGACTGAGAAAATGCCTATAACCTGTCTTTTCAGAAGTACCATTTCCATGAAAGTCATTGCATTTCACACCTTCTTATCTAGATGCTAAAGGGCCTCTGTGAAACTGTTAACATAGTTCAGGTTTGTATGTATACTTGAAAGTAACCTAGAGGTGTCTCCTGAATAGCATATAATTCTAGCTCCCCACCCCTCAGGGATAAATGAGTATCTTCTATTTTGAATAATGAAATCTAAACCAGACATTTAAAAAATACCTTATCAAAACAGAGAGAGAGAATTTGTTTGCACCCCTCTTGCACCAGCGTTGTCTTGTCACCAAAAGACAGAGACCATTTGTTTGCATCCATCTCTTGCCCCAACATCATCTTAGACCTGCCCCATCTCAGGACCACAACCTTTAGTGCAAGGGAGCGTTGGGGGGTGAACAGGGGATTAGTGGCCACCATCAGGGCCCAACACCAGCCAGTGAGAGAGTTTAGGGATGGAGTAAGAAGTAGAACCTAGGGGCTACGGACTAAGTTCAGCTGTCACCCGGATTTTTTTAGCTCATGGGCTCAGCTCATCCCCATAGTAGTGAAAACACAATTTGCCTGTTACAAGTTTTCATGTGCAGTTTCTTAAATAGCCACAAGGTGAGGATGTGGCTCCATGAAAATCTTTGCAGGACTTTGTCACTCATCTCCGTCCCTCTCTACTAGTCTCTTCCCTCTTCTGCTTTGTGTGCCTCTGTTTTGTAACTTGTTCCCTAATTGGTTCATAAAGAGCCTAGATTTTGGAGCCACACAGTTCTAGATTGGAATCTCTCTGGGCCTTGGTTCCCCCTCTATGAAACGAGGATAAGGCCTGCTTCCCATGGGAAACTGGCATCCTCCCATGATGCTGGTGGGAGTGTAAATTGATGCCGCCCCATAGCGGGCCACTTGGCAGCCTACGCAGGAGTACGCATGCCGGTACCCTTTCTGGCTGTTTATGCTGTGGGTGTGCCAGGATGCATGCAAATGGTGTGTGCTTGTGGTGATTCATCACAGCATTGCATGTAATAGCAAAAGATTGGAAATAGCCCAATATCTGCTGGTAAGGGATTCTTAAAGTAAACAAGAGATCAGTCTTACAATGGAATACGGTATGGGGCCGTAATACAAAGAAAGAGGAAGCCCTCTGTGTATTGCTAAGGAACAATCTCCAAGATATTTTGTTTAAAAAGAAAAAGAAGCAAGGTTCCGAACAGCGAGTCCTATAGAGTTTGCTAAAAAAAAAAAAAAAAATCCTCACCTGACTACACGCTTACTGATCTTAGAGGGAGGGGAAGGGAGGGAAAGGGAGACATCGATCATTTGCCTCTTGTACGTGCCCAAACCAGGGACCAAACCTGCAACCTAGGCACATGTCCTGACCCAGAATCAAACCCACAACCTTCCAGTTTATGGGACAATGCTCCAACCAACCAAGCCAGACTGGCCAGGGCTAGTTTGCTATTTTCATGTAAAAAGGGAGGAAGATGAAATCGATTTTTGTGTTTGCCTGCATATGTATCAGGAGATGAGAGGCACAAAATTAACGAGACTGTTTACCTGTTTTCCTGGGAGTACCTAGTAGTAAGTATTTTGCTTAATTTATGTAAAAAAAAAAGAGCTACTTTTCTTCCCTCTGTTGGACTTTGTTCCTTGTAACCTGTTACACTGATTCGGACACACACACAACCCCCACGATAGCGGTGGCATTAGCTGACCCTGTGCCAGGCGTTGTTGAGATGCCTTGCGTGCACTAGTTCATTTTAGGGAGGAACAGGGACCAGGGCAGAGGTATACCTGATCTGCAGTGCATTTTATATTTGAGCCCTGAATTGAACTTCTTAAAAGAAGTGTGTTTTCCTGATTAGTTTCTGCCACATATGGTAGTCGTGGGAAGTAAACAAGAGTACATGTGAAGTGTGTGCTCTTCTCCAGGGGTGGCCTCTGAATTGGTCCGGAGCCTCGGGTGCCCCGGCAGGCAGGGCAGGACCCTCCTGCACAGGCGGCCTTGGGATAGCCGTCCTCACCCAGCTGCGTTCCCCTGGTGGGCAGGGTGGGCCCACATCCACAGCCTCCTCCACTTTCTCAGATTTCCCTGCTGCTTCCTGCTTGCCATCGCTCCACCTCCTGGTCTCTGAGGAAACAAAGCTGTTTGTGTCCAGGGCTTTGCCTTAAAGTTGACTGGGTGCACTTCAGGCAGCCGCTGAAATCCTGGGTGCCCGAGGGGCCCTTACCTCCCCTTCCAGATCCTCCCAGACCTGCGCTCCCAGTAGCAGCACTTGCCTGCACACTTAGGCTTAGGGGGTCTCCCTCTGTTCCTGAAGCCCTTAATGCAATGGTCCTATTTTCAGATCTACCTCCTACATTCTTCCCTCTCCCTTCTCTGCCCGCGGTTGCCTGGTATCTGTCTCTCCACAGCCTGCTCCTCAACCTGGAGCGTGGTTTCTGTGCTTTGAGAGGGTCCTGCCTTCCCTGCAGAGCAGATGGGCACCGTGGGGAGCACCCTGAGTTCAGCCGAGGCCTGGGCGTGCCCTGACTTGCTCTCCGGAGCAGAGTGGTCAGAGCCAGGCCAGAGCCGCCTGCTGACGGGGGCATTTTGACAACAGATCCGCAGCTGGGCTGGCCCAGGCCAGGCCTCTTACCCAGCGGGGCTGGGCTAAAGGGACAGGGACGAAAAGGTGACTTTAGTGAGGACCAGGCCTTGAAGATTTGGACCTGCACTGACCGTCCTGGGTACCTGCTGCTGGGGCTGGTACGAGCCACATAAGAGCAGAGGACACGCTGTTGTGCTCCTGCCTTCCCTTCAGAAAGGCTTGGTGCCAAGGAAAAGCTGGAACTGGACCTCTGCTCTTCTCTGAGGAGATAGCCATTATTTGTTTGTTTTTCTTTGCCTCCCCCCACCCCACCCTGCCCAAAAAAATAATAAAATGTTTTTCTTAATCATTAAAGAGCAAGGTTGTCTGGACACAGAGGTGGAAAATTGATCTTTGTCTCCCTTTCCCACTTTGTAGGCAGCTGAAGGCTTCAGGGAGCCCTGACCTAGGGACGTGTCAATGGCCCTGGGAGAAGACAAGGCAGAGCTGGAGGCCTCCATGGACACAAAGGCCCCAGCCTGTGGGAGGTGGCGCTGCGGGGAGCCGGAGGTGGACGTCCCTGGGCCTGTGAGTGGGGAGCAGCCACCACGTCTGGAAGCGGAGGGAGAGCCCGCCTCCCCTGTGTGGAGGGCAGAGGGCCTATCTGCCCCCACCTGTTGCCCCTCCGGAGTCTGCCAGCCACAGGCCAGCAACGCCAGCAGGGAGCCGGTCGCGGGTGCATCTGAGCGTGCGCTCGGTTGCCTGCTTCCTCCTGCCCGTGTGGACGCTGGAGATCTGCATTCTGTGGGAAGTCAGGTAGCTACCAAGGTAAATGGGACTGCAGGTTTACCTAATGCTGTCCTTTGGGAGTGCGTTCCAGCATTTTGTCGCCATTTTAGGTGCTTTCCCAGTCCCCGTACGAGGTGAGGCGTTGGGGGAACCTGGGTATGGTGATTTCTGTTTAACTGGAGAATTGGGCCTTGGTGTCAGCAGGGGGCTCTGTCCACAGCATCTCCTGTTCCCTAAGAGATTGGTGACCTTCTGAGAACCAGGGATGCTGTGGCCCAGACCTGCCACCCAGAGGGCTAGGCCAGGAGAGCTGAGAAAGGGGAGCCTTTTCTATTTCTGACGCGGTGTTCCGAAGGCCTCGGGGGATCCCGAGAGGAGACCTGGAGGAGGAGGGCCCAGGGCTGTGGTCTCCTGAGGGCCTTGACACTGGACCTCTTTGAAACCCGGGAAACCTGGCAAAACCTGGAGCCCCTGTGGTGGGCAGCACTGTTGCTGGGCAGGGAGAACTTCTTGGGCCTCCCTGACGCAGGGCAGCCTTGCCTAGTGGGAGTCACGTGTGGCAGGCAGTCCTGCCTGGCTCTGTGACCTCAGGCAAATCGCTGACTCTGTCAGGCCCTCAGTGTAACTGGGAAGGTGACCTGCATGACCTGCCCCTCCCAGCTCTTATATCTTGTCAGGCTTTGCTTGCCCAGACCTTTCGTGGCAATGGCTTTGATCTCCTCAGTGTCACTGTGGCCTTGGCTGCTGCACGCTGCCCCCGTGGGTCCCCCTCCTTCCAGGAGCCTCTGAGCATGACTGGGAGAAAGCAGCCGCCGGCCCCACCTGCCTGGGAGCCAGGGCGGTGGGAGGCTCAGGGGACCTGTGAGTCAGAGCTTCAGTGAGGCAGAAAGCGACTAAGCCTACTGGCTGTTTTCATGATGGGAGTCTGGTGCTTATCGTAACTCCTGTTGTGTGTTGAGTTCTCACCGTGTGCTCTTCACACACGAGCTCATTTAATCCTTGTGTCCTGAGGAAGTGGTGCCGTTACTGCCCCCATTTTACAGGCGCAGGAAGTAAAGTAGGGATAATAATGGAACCATTTTTACTGGAAGGCAGCAGTTAGGGGTTGGCACCAGGTCTCTCTGGTTCCAAAGCCCATGGCCTTAACCACTGTGCTGTCAGCCTCCCTGAAGCAGATTAAAAGTTCAAAGTGAAGAGGCTGAGGCAAATGACTCATTTTGCCAGCATTTAGTCACTGCTGGCAGGTGAGCTGAGCCGAGTGGGGTTGGGTGTGTCTTCCGTCAGTGACAAGACAGTTAAGGTTTTGTCTGCACAGAACATGCCTCTGAAAGGGTAGGCAGTGTGTTCCAGTCTCAGCACGACAGCTCCGAGCTCTGCACACAGGCAGGGTACCTGTGGAGGAAGTCCTTCTGAAAGGACGGAGGGCGGGGTCCGTGTGGGGAAGAGCCTGCTTCCCAGAGCAGGCTGCGTCTCCGGGCCTCCACTGGCTGCTCTCCGATTCTTGCGTCAGGACCAGACGCCATGTCAAGACCTCTCCCGAATATCACCTGAGCTCCCCAAAGAAAACTAGATTGTCATCTGAGGAAGAGATTCAGTTTACTTATTTTTACTTGAGTGCTTTTTCTTCCCTCTTAACCATTGCAGATGGAGGACACCAATCTTTCTGCCTCAGAGGAGCTACCTCAGACTGTGGCCGTTCCCAGAGCCACAGCTCTTTGCTCAGGACATGATGCAGATACTGAAGACGATCCATCCCCAGTGGAGTCACCTCCAGTGCTGGACCTCAGCCAACAGCCTCACATCTCAGGTTTCCCTTTCTCGTCAAAGTGGAGGTCCACAGTGAGCCCAGGGTCCGCTGCTCCTCAGTTTGCCAGCTGCAGTGCCCCTGCCTCATCCCCTGGCAGCAGTTTCCAGGGTCGCCAAGAGAAGGCAGAGCCTCAGAGTTGCTCCCTCGCCAAGGTCTCCTCCTCCCTGGAGCTGGTCGGCCCAGAGTCGGCCCCCTCTGTGGTAGGGCCAGGGCCTCAGCTCCAGTGGCCCCCACAGCCTGTGTCCTCTGGGGCCGATGCTCCTGGGCTGAGCAGGGGACGCCTATCCTTCCAAGCCGAGTACTGGGCCTGCGTGCTGCCAGATTCCCTGCCCCCTTCCCCTGACCGCCGCTCCCCACTGTGGAACCCAAATAAAGAGTACGAAGACCTGCTGGACTACACTTACCCACTTAGGCCCAGGCCTCGGCTCCCAAAGCACATTGACAGCCACGTGCTGGCTGACCCTGTCCTGCAGGACTCAGGTATAGACCTGGATAGCTTTTCTGCCTCCCCAGCAAGCACTCTCAAGTCACCCACTAATGTTTCTCACAGTTGCCCACCAGCGGAGGCCACTGCCCTGCCATTCTCTGGGCCCCAAGAGCCAAGCCTTCAGCGGTGGCACTCTGGAATACTCCAGGAGCAGGGTGGCGTGGGGTTGGCATCTTGTAGCCAGCTCGCATCTACACCCAGGGCCGCAGGCAGTAGGGACAGTCCTTGGAAGAGTAGAGAGCCAGCCCCGAGGGGCGTGAAGAGCTGGCGGCCCATGGGCAAGCCCCTCGAGGTGAGGCCTCCCCAGCTGAGGACATGGGACAGAGGGCAGCCCTCATCCAGGCCAGAAAGAGAGAAGGGAGCTAGCTGGGGTATCCAGCGCCCTGCCTGCGTGGAGTCGGGATGGAAACCAGGAGAGGAGTTGGAAAGTGACGACGAGTATCTTGCCCTGCCCACGCGGCTGACACAGGTTTCTAGCTTGGTTTCCTATCTAGGTTCCATTCCCACTTTGGTGACCCTGCCAGCTGGGGCTGCCGAAGGTCAGAGCTCCCTGGATGTGTCGGACAGTGATGGGCCCACTTCCTTCCCATCGGACTCCAGCCAAAGCCAGCTTCCCTCCGGGGCTACTGTCAGAGGGCCTGGGGGGCAGAACCACTGTTTGCTGCGCTCCTTCATCCACGCGAGGGACTCGGCAGGGGACGGCAGTCTTGTGAGCAGCCAGGCGCTGGAGGTCTCTGGACTGCTGAGGACACGCCCTTCCTTGCCAATTCTTTTGGACCCAGATTCTAAAGGGCAGTCTCCCAGGAGAGGAAGAGAGGAGGGAAAAGATTCACTCATGCAGTGTGTGAAGGTAAACTCGACATTTAAGAGGCTTTGCGTAGAGGTGTCTCGTTTCTTCCCCCAGTCCACTAATATAAAACTTAGTAACATTAAGCACATTTTATGTGCCAGGCATTGCACTGTACCCTATCCTATTTAAACTTCACAGCTCTCTACTCGGTAAGGACTATTCTTATTTCACAGAGAAAATGGCAGCGAGAGGTTAGGCAACCTGCCCACTTAAAATTAGCAAGGGCTGGAGCCTGAGCTCTTAACCACTACCCCAGGCAGCTTCCCAAGGCTCTTGACCTTGAAGAGGTATGCTGCACAAGAGTTTGTGTTCAGATGCCTTTAGGAAACTGAGTGAAACAAAAGTAAGTGCTCTCTTGACTGCGAGACTTCTCAGAGCTTCAATTTAATAAAGTGGTGTAACGGTAGAGGATTATGGACCACCCAAGAATACCTGGAGATAGAATAATAATGCTACAGGGAACAGGATTGTCAGCATCAGGGAGATGTGAATTTGAATCACAGCACTTTTTGGCATTTAGCTCAGTCTCTTTAAGTTTGCTGCTTTTCTAAAATATGGACATGTGCCACTTTGGGGTGCTCTGTGGGTTAAATGAAATAATCCAGGTTGAGGGCTTCGCGCAGTCCCTGACACAGGTATGTTCAGAAATGGGGCTCGCTCTGCACGCACACGGGGGAGTCCCCCCCCCCCAGGTGAGCACGTGGATCCTGCATCTGCGGCCAGCCAGGTGGCCATGTGTGTACCCGTGGCTGATGCCACAGGTGGTTCCTGACACTCAAGGAGGGCTTTAACCTGCTCGTGATGCCCCGGGGGTGATTTGATCTGTGCTCTGAAGCCGGTAGGATAGATGGTAGCATGTACCCTCCTTTGTGATAGAAGATTGAGAGGGCGAGGTGAAGGGCTTGGCTCACAGCTCCCCCAGGGAGCTGAGGGGCCCTGCTCCCCAAGCAGGGCAGAAGCACAAGAGGGACATGCAGCTTTAAGGCAGTTGTCAGCCTTACATTCACGTTAGTCTCGGTCATTTATTTTATGTCCACACTTTTCCCAGAAACAATCTGATAGCCGTGGTGCTGACCCAAACCCCGGATTCTGTGGCTGGCCTGTTTGCCGTCCCCGCCCTCACCTTTTCTGCTCTGTACCCCGGGCAGGGCTGGCCTTTCTCAGCCTGTCATTTTTGGAGTCACAGCGGGCTGAGGGGAGACAGAACCAAGGTGGGGCTGTTGCTGTTGCCCTGGTGGAGGTCTGGAATCATGGGGTGGGAACAGGCAGGGGAGGAGAGAGGAGACTAGAGCCTCAAGTGAAGGAATGCTCTGGAAAGGTGCACAGCCCATCTCGGAATCCCCTGGATATTTTTAGCCTTTTGAAAATGTAAACACCATGTGTCTTTTATTTGTCTGCACAGACGTTTTGCTGTCAGCTAGAAGAGCTGATCCACTGGCTGTATAACGTAGCAGATGTTACCGACCACTGGACTCCACCCAGGTCCAGTCTCGCAGGTCTCAAGTCTTCCCTGCAGCTTTACCGGGTAATGCATGGTCCTGGCTTTTGGCTGTTGACTCATGAGAGGGGTGGCTACGTTACGTGATTACAAAGTAATGTAGCTCAAATAACTGATGCTCAGCATGTTGTGGCTCAGTTGACTGTTACCTAAAACCTAAGCATAGGTCCTTTTCAGATTCTTAACGCTGAAAAACTAAGATGTAGCAGTTATTTCCTAGGCCAAACAGAGTTTGGAGAAAATATATTTATCAGTCAAAAGTACTGGTGGGTGATTTCCAAGGTAATTTTCCAAATGTCTCAGGGATTGGTTAAATGTAGATCTGCACTAATAGGTAGTCAGCACATGTGGCTATTTAAGTAAAACTGAAGATTCCGCTTTCTCGGCTGCACTAGCCACATTCCAAGTGTTCAGTCATCACATTCGTCAGATGGCTACCACACTGAACAGTGCAGAGAGAACATTTCCATCATCACAGAGTCGTATTGGGCAGCACTGACTGGTATTTAAGTATCTGAGTTGAAATTGTACTGATTCCAGAGTATACACAGGGCATTTTGATGGTATTTAAACAAAGTACGACTCAGTTTGCTTCTCGTGTGTTTAGTTGGGAGGGGGAGTGCCTCTTTTTAAAAGAAAATGAGGATTTCCTTTAAAATGTCTTTAATTGTGGTGCTGATTACGACGTTAGATCAAGTATATTTACGGTGACAGTTTGTGCCTGCTGTTATGGCATAATTATCAATACGTCCCCCTTCATTCCCAGAAGTGTTGTGAATTGGATGATAAATTACACAGTTATCCTAAACATAACATTCACCTTGACTGAACTACCCATGGCTTCTAGCATGTCTGGTTGGCCGCATCTTTATAATCTCTAGTGAAGAGCAGGAGTATTTGTGGTGTGAGCCTGATGCTAGTGTAGAAAGGGTTTTCTGGGACAGTTCTTTGAATTGCTCCCATGTTAGAACCTAACCGTGTGCCTTTAACAGAAGAGGGTGTGATTTACAAGTGACTGAGCCAGGGGCCACACTAGGTTAAGCTGAGCCTAGAGTTCCCACCACACCCAGGCAGAATGGAGGACCTTTGTTTTCCAACTTGGAGCCAAGTAAAATTTCAGGGAGGGGCCTCGCCTGGGTGGGCCAGCTGCCCTACACTAGTGGGATTGCTATTTCCTGCTGTGTGGAGAGCTCCTTGCCCAGAGTGCCCTGAGAAAGGCCGACTGTGAGGGTCTTCCCGTGTACAGGGTCCACCCCAGGAGGCCCAGGGGCAGCACCATTATTGGGAGAGGAAACTGGCCTTGTGAGGCTGACCTGGGTGGCCCTTTCGGAGTGCCTCAGCCCTGCCCCCGTCGGAGCAGGTGCCAAGTAAAACTCCATTCCCTCCATTGTGTCCCTCATTCCCTCCTGTGCCTCAGCTTCCAGACTAACCAGAAACAACTAGCTTGCTCTGTGGGTAGAGCTGAGATCTGAGCTGTGGGTTACCTACCCCTGCAGGTCAGTGAAGCCTAGCCCTCTTGTGTCACCCATACAACTGTGGGACCACACTGTCAACCCTTCCCCACAGAATGATGCATGGCTCTTGCATATGTATGAGCTACCTTGACCCATGCTTAGATGCTTAATATAAGCCTGAAGGTGACTGTGACTCTCATATATTTTATCTTAACACAGCGCATTTGCGGCAGCACATAAACATAGGTATTAGGGCTGAAGACAGGAATATGTAAATCCAAGAGTAAAATTGTAACTTCGGAATGTGAACTTAAGTTTTGCACGCTGTACTAAAAGTGGTCCTCAATTTGACTTATACTTCTTAGCCAAAGGGACATCAAAAATAGTCAACTACAAGGCTTGATACCTGTGAGGGAAAAACAGATGAGCTGCTTAGGAACCTCCCAGCTTCCCTGATGCCTTCCCAAGGCCTAACATCCACATAGAATAGGACACTGACAGAGGGCAGGGATAGAAACAGCAGTCCCTGTGGTCAAGATAGCAGCATCTCTTGTGGCTGTTGCTTTCTAGTTCCACTAGAACAGAAAACTGTTTCAAGAATCCCATTGCCCTGTGACTTTAAAGAGAACCTACCCTGTGAAGCGTGAGACAAGAAGGAAGCCCTGACTCCAGCTGTCGCTAAGGCAGCCTCCGCCAAGGAAAAGGAAACTTCTGTCAAACTGTAAACGGGAAAAAAAGGACTGGCTATTTATCTTGGGCTCAAAAGAGGTGAAGTTGAACTAGTACACTGTTTACTTGGAGAATCCAGAGAACCAGCGGGTTTACCTTCCAGGTCAGAGGAGAATCAAGCTACCCTACGAGGGATCATTTTGAATAACTTATAAAGCAATAATAATTTTTTCTTTCTTTTTCTGATGTGCTTTAAGCAATTTAAGAAAGATATAGATGAACACCAGTCCCTGACGGAGAACGTCTTACAGAAAGGGGAGATTCTTCTTCAGTGCCTGTTGGATAACACCCCAGGTGAGAGGCTAGAGGCTTTGAACACAGCCATCCTGTCAGCAGCAGGTCCAGGGACCCCACTCACTGGTAAGGAGCCCATAGTGCCAGGCCCCTCACACAGGCACCCATTGTTAGCAGCCCCTCACGTCATCACCGCCCCAGGCCACACCGTGAAGCAGTTGCAGTCACAAAGCATAAGCCCCGTAGACATTAGGTGTCCAAGCGTGTGAGACACTCTTGTGTCTGCTTTTATCTTTTCCTGGCGGTGTGCTGGGTGGGAATGCGGCTTCCAGCTGTCCTTTGGTTTCGGCTAGGGGGTTCCGGCACAGGCGGAACCGCTGTGGTGGTCTGCTTTGGGGAAGAAGTTGTGTCAGGATTTAAGACACAATCTATTGTGAGGGCATTGACTGAAGGAAGCAAGTGAACTGATGAGGGGACAGGCTGGACCGTGGCACACAAACTAAGCTCAAGCCAGTTTTGTAGGGTAGGTTTCCAATGTAGGAAAATGTGAAAACCACAACCCTCTAAGGATACATTAAAGCGTGCATGGTGCAAGGATTTACGGTCATGCTGCCCTTGCTGGGGGCAGAAATGATATGGAAGATAAGCTAGGAGAATGCTAGGTTAAAGCAGTGAAGTGTTGGATCCCTAAAAGCAGCACCCTGATTTCCTGTAAGATGGAACATCCAAGTGCTGAAAAGGCCCATCTATATCGTGCCTCAAATGGGGAGTGAAATGGGGTTTATGCTAGAAGCAAATAGCATAAGTAAAGCTGGGCAGGACCTGCAGGCTTGAAGGGCAGTGGGGTTGCACTTTCCTGACCACAAGTCGTTAAGCAGATGCGCATTAGGGAGGTGGTAAGGGACAGTCTCAGCCTCAGCACAATGACATCTTGGAGCACCTAATTCTTTGCTGCGATGGCAGCTGTCTTGTGCAGGGTAGGATGTTTAATAGCATCCCTGGCCCCTCCCCGGTGATGACAACCTAAAATGTCTGCAGACATCACCACATGTCCCCTGGGAAGAAAAATCACCAGGGCTGGGACCTGAATGAGCCTTGCAGGGACTTCCAAGGCGTAGTGCTTACCAAGGCGTAGTGCTTATCCAGTGAATATGAGAGACTTTTGCAACCCCCTGCCCTTAGGAGGCTCTTGTTTTGGCTCTTCTGGTTTTCTCTTACACTAGTGTTTTTGGTTTATGCCAAGCTCCTTCGCTCTCTGTAATTACACCAGCATTTTACTGAACACTGTGTGCCAGGCACTGCTAAAGGAGTTGACATCAGACTTTTTTCATTTGCTCAGAGCCCTGTGAGATGGATACTGTTACGGGGCTCTCCTCAGTGGAGTGGTGAATTTGCCTTGGGTCACACAAGGAGTGGCAGCCTGGCTCCAGCCCCTACATGCTGGCTCCCCTGCTGTGGTCAGTGTTTGGAGGTGCAGGGGCCTGAGCAGGAAGGAAAGGAGCTCAATACCAGGAAACTCTTCCCAGAGACCACATGTAACAATGGGCCTCTTAAAAGTTATGGGTTCTTTGATATTCATTTAAAAATCAATTAAGTAAAACTTCTCAGCGCTTAATTTGTATGTATGTATTTATGAATGAGGGGGAGAGAAACATCAACGCACAAGGGAATATATTGATCATTGGCCTCTTGTACACACTCCAGCAGAAGACCAAACCTACAACCCAGGCATGTGCCCTGACCAGGAGTTGAACCGGCAGCCTCTTGCTTTGCCCAGTGGCATCTAACCGAGCCACACGGGCCAGGGCAGTGCTCAATTTGTAATAAACACACCCCACTTCGCCTTTCTCTCAAAGGAGTCTAGAGGTATTTTACTGCCGAAACAAGAGGCTTTTGGGGTTTCTGTGGTTTTTAGATGTGTATCCAGGCTCTTTCAGATTGACTCTGGCCCACCCTCAGCTTGGCATAATCAGGAACTTTACTGTTTGGTGAAAGTCACAAGTTCCCCTCGATACTCACAGGGCTTTTGCGGCCAGATGCAGGCCTCTTGTCTGCAGGGCATGCTGCCCGAGTCAGGAGAGCCCTCGCAGACACTCCTCCCTGAGCCTGCTTTCTCCCTCCGTCACAGTATAACTTCAGGGGCAGGTGGAAGCTAAATTAATTCCCCCGCCAAAATGTCCCCTTCTCAGACTGCTGCCGAAGGCCCCCTGTGGAAATGTGGCAGGTCTGCACTGCATTTAGTGTGTGAGTTGACAGTCCTGTCTCACATGCAAACTCATCAAATGGCTGCAATCTACATGCATCCAGCTCAACCAGGCCCCTGTAAAATTAAAACATAAATACCTCACTGGGAAAAATGACTTTATTTCCATTCCTAGCTTTTCCTTTTACTGGATTTCAACTGAACATCTAACATCCTCAAATAAAAGTTCAATAAAGTAAAGGTCCCCTGAATTCCACTGAGAGCAGATAGGACTGAGTAAAGGTCAGGTGAACGTGGAGGGGAGAGCCGATCCCAGGCGCCCTCACAGGGGCCCTGGACTATGCCCCCTGGCCCTACCCTTCCAGTTTTCATAAGTTGTAAGGACAGCACTCTGCCCTGATGACTGATGTGGCATCCCTCACGGCTGATCTCAACACAGCCAGCCTGTGCTTCTGCCCGCCCATCAGCATCCTCTGCAGATACGCAGCTTCCCCTTTCCCTTCCGCTGCTGGCAGATGTTGCAGCTGTGGCAGGAAACTAGGGAGAGTGTAACACAGCTGATAAAGGCACAGGAAGCTAAACTAGCCTTTGTGTTTAACAAAGGAAATAAAGTTTTTAAGAGAAAAAAAAGCAAGCCTGCTGTGTGGGATGCACTGTGAACCTAGCCTGTCCCATTCGGTAGGAGGGAGTCTTGGCCTTACTAACCATCTTGTCTTTGCCAGCTTTTAGATAATTTTCTTTTGAAGTCTGTTTGTTTAGGACACCCAAAAAAGGGTTCACAAGCATTCCCAAATGTTACCCGACTACCTGTACACATACTAAATGACAGTCCCCCGGCTGATAGGACCTGGTAACAGGACCCTCATCTGGGTATGTTGTTTTGTTTCATTTAATTAGCCTTCTGCCCTACAAGCTCTGGGTGTGTCCTGAATATTCCCTCTAAAAGTTAGACTGTGTCTCCGCCTTTTTGTGTATTAAACGTAATTCCAAAGTGGAGGAGCCAGTGAAATTCTCTCAGCTTTAATCAGAAGTTACAGATCTACTAGTGCAATAGCATTTCCTGGAGAGTCACTGTTAAGAGCAGAAATTATGAAACTATTGCTGTGTTCCTATTTTGTGTGAAATGATATATCCTTGCATTTTCTTTTGAAAATAACTGGAATGATTTTTCTTGGCCTAATTGCTTTAAACCTCATTTGTTAGTGTTAAAGGATGTTCTCAGGAGGATCGCAAAGCAGCCCAGCGAGCTGGAGAGCCATGCGGATCACTTGTATGACACTCTCTTAGCCTCTGTGGACATGCTGGCTGGTTGCACCCTCATCCCTGACAACACACCGATGGCACACAGGAGTGCTGATGTGACTGGGATGAGCCTGGTAGGTACAATAACCCAGTGCTGGATTAGGGTTCGGAGCTCTTGCTCTAACATTTGGCTGTTTCTTAGAAGCTTGAGCCAAGAGCTATTAAATAAGATGCTAGGAGAAGACCAATACCGAGAAAGGAAGACGCTGCCATTGCCAGGCAGAAGCTCGGGGGCCTTCCTCTGGTGATTAAGGCTCACTGTGGTGCTTCCCGTGCTGCCTGCTGAGGACTAGCATGTCCCATGGCCCCAGTAAAACTGAACCTATACCTACTTTTTTGTGTCTGTACATCTAAACTTCAGGTTCTTCTCACCCAATTAATTTGGTTCTCTCCATCTCCCAGCAACTGTTGACAGCACCCAGTGCCTAGAGACACAGAATTACTGATAACTCCCCCTACCTCACTTTCCCACAAAGAACGAGGGGATAACTGGGGACGACATGCCTGGAGACCTGAGAGTACAACTTTCTGTTGATTATCTGGAAAAGCTGTATAGGAAATAATAACAAAGAGGAAGTGAGGGAGCATAGATGGCTGGTACCCACTTTGGGATAACTGGACCTCCCTCTCTCTGAAATTGCCTCTCCAACCAAAATGTACTTAACTCAGATTTTCCAAGTTAGAATTCACTATAGACAAAAGAAGGTAAAGGATAAAATCCAGGTATGTCAAGTGCAGGGAGTCCATGTATTCCTATCAAAGAAATTTGCACAAGTCGCTTTTTAGTTCTAAAATGAATGCAGGTGATATTTGTTGTCATGTCTTACTCAGCAGCATTCTGCTTATAACAGATGTTTCTCTTTCCCTTTCAGGCGTCTTCTCAGGCAGAGATGTAACCTGTTTCCCAAAACTTGACTGGTGGGAAACTTTCAGGAAGTCCTAGTAAGAGCCATTTAACGTTGATATTAAGGGGGAAACTTAATGTACTAGCTTTAAAATGCCTTTCTCTTCCCTGAAGTAAGGGGCTACTGAGTTACCATTTTTATTTAAAATGAATCCTTCCAAACTAAGATTCCTTTGGTGCTTCTCTGCGAAGAGCATGTGACTTTGCCGTTTTTGATAAAATAATGCTCAAAGGCTTATATGTCCTTCCTCCCTCCTCTACCTAATTAAAAAGAGCAGACTGAGCTCTTAAACTAGTCCACGTGCTGAGATCATTTAAATGCTCAGTACTCTCAGGCATATACATAGAAAAGGACCTAAGAGACTGGAAAAAAAGTGAATGGTTGGCCAGGAACTTGGGTCTTTTAATAAAACAAAGCTTAGACTTATAATCTCTTTGAAGATTTTTAGAAGAAACTTTAACTCACCAAATTCTTAAGACGGTTCTGAATGACTAGGACCTCTACAAATCAGCCTGGGCTGTCAGGACCTTCTGTCATCTTCAGGGCTTAGGGGTCCATCTCCCTGCCTAACTGTCTTAAAAGAAAAAGCGCAGGAACTTTGGGAGGTGCTATGGAGCTTCAGCGAGGGTCCCTCTAGGAGGATGCACGCCTCCATTCTAGTCTGGTGTGGAAGAGTAAGTCCAAGGCTGGGGAAGGGAAGGGCATGGACTATCCAAGGCTGTCAATAATGAAGGAAAAAAGGGAAATTTTTTGTTGCTTGGGAGTTGACCTACTCATAGAAATAAATCTACAGATTAACCACTGAAAGTATCAATTCTGTAGCTTTTTAAAGCAAAATGATCACCTGTTGCTGGTGTAACCACTGATCCTGCAGAAACAAAAATCACTTAGTTTCTATTGAGCCATAAACGAACATGGAGAGAGGAAAGCACATTTCTCCCCTTTATTTTTGGTATTACAGTAAAGCTAAGACTTAAAGGGTCTTCATACTTACGAGATAAGCACTTAAAGACCCTTTTTCAGACTTCCAGATTCTCATTTGAGGAAGGTGCTTAAAAAAGTATCTTCTAAGTTTATAAAGAGATGAGCAAGTCATCTTTAACCAAAAAAAAAGGGTGATGTTGAAGCAGTTACTTATAAGCAGACTTCTGATTTCCCCTCAGAACAAAACATTTAAGACTTTAAGACTTTAATTTTGGAGGCTGAGCCACATTTTTTTTTTCTTTTAAATCCCCACCAGAGGACTATTTTTCCCCCCATTGCTTTGGGGGGGGGGGGAACGCATCAATATAAAAATGAAATATCAATTGGTCACTTTCTTGTACCTTCTCCAACTGGGAATCGAGCCCACAACCTTTCAGTCTCTGGAATGATGCTCCAACCGAGCCACACCGGCCAGGGTTGAGCCACATAATCTTACCATCTCACCCACCTCCATATGAACTTAAGTTCTATTGTTAAATGTTTCTGCTTTAGAATTTCTAAGACTTCATAGTCACTGGAAAATTATATTAAGTTCAGTAGTAGATATATAAAAGTCAGTATTTCAAGTGCCTGCTGCTGCTGTGGTATCATTTACCATAATGCTTAAGGGCATGATCAGAATTAAAACCCTGTATTAAGATTCTGCCCATAACCTTGATTCTAGACACAGACTTTAATAGACAGAACGCCTCCTTGGCAAGTAGCTGTAAATGTAAAATATTCTTAACAGCCTAGAACTGGTTAAAAAGGCAGTTATATCTAATAGCCTCTGTTTTTAAGTTGATGTATTTTTACCTTCTCTTTGATGTGGCTATAAATTGGTACATGCCTTTCCACTGAGTATGAATTAGGAGTTAAACCTAGTTATTTACTAGTATTTGATAGGCATGAAAGAAAGTCGATTGGTTAGCAAAGAAAAACTGAACATGACAACGCTATAGAAACAACTGGCCATTGTTACCGTAACTGAATGCTGCATATGCCATTCTATTCCCATTCAACCTAGTAAATGTAATGACAGGAATTTTCAGAGTGTTTTATTTCAAATACCCCATTTCCCAAGAAAGTACTACTTTACCTAGAGATGAACTCAAGATTTTTGTTCATCTCCTTTGAAATAAGGTGTGACTGAAGGGTGCTTATTCTGGACTTAGCTGTGAATGCCATGGAAGAGTATCAACACAGCTGCTAATTTCATCTTCAGCAGTGCTATAAAAAGTTGAAGACCTTCCTTTAAACTGAAGCTGACACTGTTTCAGCCTAGGAAGATGTCAGCAGCATTTCCATGAGCAAACATGGCCAGGTTGATTCAAGGAGCCTGGCTGGCCAGTACACATTGTTACACATTATTAGCCTTAAAGACACCAGTGGTATACAGTGACCTAAGTGTGGTAATGAAATGCCAACTTTACTTGTAGTAAAATTTCCTAGTAATCCCTTTAAATAAATAGAATTTAAATCCACCAGGAAGTTGCAGTACTAGGGGCCGTATTGGCAGTTTCAAGATCTGAGTTCTTACTGCAGCTCCATGGCTAAACTGCAAATTGGAGACAGTGTCAACACAGGGCTGTTTTGAGGCTTACATGGGAAATAAAGAGAAGGGTTGATGTAAAATACATCATGCAGTGGCAACATGTATGTATGGTAAAGGAAAATTCAACCAAATGACAAAGGATAGAAAGTCACTGCTCAGACCAGAACGGCTGTCATTGTGCACGGACTTCTCAAACTAAACTGCTTAGGTTTAACTTACTCTTCTGTAAGCTGATTCATGGCAGCAACTTAACATATACAATACAAGTGATAGTTTTCTTTTATTAAGTGAACAGATTGTTGAAGCAGACAGTAGCCTTGAAATGTGTGTACTTGAAAATGGGGGTAGGAATATATTTTTTTGAGGTTGCATTTATTGGCATATTCATAAAAGCAATGCAGTGAGCCTCAGTTTTGACTGTTATGGGGGAAAGAACATTAGAATTTTCAAAACTATGTATGTAAATATGCTTACATCTTAAATCCATGTAATAATGTTTTTTTGCTAAGAATAAGCTGACAGTTTGAACAACTTGATGTTTGAAGTGCATGCCATCACACTGTCTAACGTTTGTATCATTTATCTATTGTAGAACAGTTTCTGGATTCTTTCCCCCTTTATATTGTATTGAAAAGTGAAAAAACCTTTTGAAGCATTTTTAAATATCTTCACCCAGATAATTACTATTTGGTAACCTGAGTTCAGTTGCCTTATTTGAGGATGAATAGATCCAACAAGCACATCTATAATACAAAGTAAACTATGATTTTTATTGTGAAATTCTCATAGATGGAAAATTAAATTGAATATTTATTCTGTCAATTTCATTTTACAATAATCTTATCACTTATTTTTGTACCATGTATTTTCAATTGCCTGTTTAGTGAAAATTAAAAAAAAAAAAAAAAAAAACCCTTTTAATTTTTGGCTTGTTTTTAATTTTATCATTGAATTCAAGACCCCACCATAAAATGTGTTGCCAACAACCACATCCCAAACCCCTAATTAAGTATTTTGGCCGCTACTGCAACCACAAGGAAACAGTCTTTGATTTCTATCTCCTTAAAATTGCCAGTGTTAGCAATAAGATTTGTTTCCCACAATAAAAACAAACTCTAGAATCTGCAAGGTCCTATTTAACAAATTTTTCACATGTGCAAAATTCCACTGAAATAAATACATTTTTCTCATTTATCATTCCCATCCAGCATTTGTGTTTTTGGTTAATTTTTAGGGATATAATTTCTAAAAATAGGGCAATCAAACAGTAAGTTTTTCCTGCTTTCAACTTTAATGCTTTAATTCTCCTCCAACATAAGTTATACAATTGTGGAGGATAAAACATCTGACTCAGAGCATGAAGAAATATTAGCACATGCGTTAGTCTGGTCACTTGCCAATCGGGAAAGGTGTAATGCTTTCCCACAGGAAAGATTAACAAAGTATTAGTCAATTAAGCCTTTTCAGATGGTTTTAGAGAAGGAAAAGAGGTAACAGGCTAGATAGCATATATCCTAAACTTGTTTTCCACAGAATTTAATTTCCCTGAACCACTAAGCTTGGTTAAATACCTACCCAACACAGAAGGCTTCCTAGGTTATTTTTTGGATATATCATCTGGAGAGCATATTGGACGCTGCTCTAAGGTAGGTCTACAGTGCCCTGGTTGCACACACAAATGGATGTTTTTAAGAATGCAGGGTTCTATTTCCCTTTAACTGTAAAAATTAAAACAATACTTATCACCATACGGTTGGATATTACTTCCAATAAGTACAATATTTATTAAACATATCTTCAGTTGTTCTGTTACATAGTGTGCAACAAATTACAATATTCTGCAGCCACAAATTATATGCAGAGTATGAAGAAACTATTAATCAGATAGTGTAATCTTTCTGTTTATAACTCTACAAGGAAGAACTAGCAAATCAGATCTTACATATAACATCTCACTAAACTTTATGCATGGAAAGTGACAGACACTGGTTGTGCTGTTTGATACAAAATGGCTGAACTTCATCTTCAGAAGACTAAACCTGACATCTAAACATGCCAATATAAACATCAAAACAAAATATATTCTAACCAACCACGGGAAACAGTCTGATATCAGGAAAGCAACAAGGATTACACACATTATTTTATAAACCAGCACACAAAGGTTTAAAACAGTTCTGAAAATGAAGTTAGCTGTCTTGAGTCAAGGGAATAAAAAAAAAGTCAGTATTGACCATTTACAATCTCTGACCTTTGTGGAGACGTAAGAATCTGTTGTAGTGCAGCTACATACAGTACAATTCAGGCAATTTTGTTTTTTCACTTGGGTTCAGATTGCAAATTCATTGCTGTGAGAAAAAGACGGAGGCGAATTTTAGCAGCAACCTCCACCTGACTGCTTGACCGGAGTGCTCTGAATTTTAACATTGGACTTCTCTGCACCACCAGCTGTTGCTCCAGGACCCATTCGCTTTTTAATCTCAGCTGCCATTGTCATGAAAGACTGTTCTACATTTGTTGCATTCTTAGCACTGGTTTCCAAAAATGGAATTCCAAGGGAATCAGCAAATTCCTAAGAGAATAATAAGGCACAATTAACACTGAAAAATATTTTTCACTTAGTGTGTTTCTATCTATAAAGGGTAGTAAGGAAAGGCTAAATTTACTGAATCCAAACAGGCACCATAAAAAACTCATTTCAAATATTCTAGTGCACATTTTCAAAGCCCAGGTGGTGGTTCACCTTCACATTCAGTTTGAAAATCAAATTTTAAACATACCTTTGCTGTTGTGTAGTCTACTACTTTCTTTGTGGTCAGATCACATTTGTTCCCTACCAACAACTTGTTGACGTTTTCGCTGGCGTAACGATCTATTTCCTGCAGCCACTGTTTAACATTATTGAAGGACTCCTAAGAAAACAGACATTTTTAAGAATAATAATATAGTTCTGTAATATAACAACTGCTCTAATGAAGTGATAAAAGTGTCTCTCTTGACCTAAAAAAAGATAGCTATTGTGCTAAGAAGTGAACTGATAACATTAAAATGCCTGTCCATATCTAAATAAGAAGTTGGAATTTGAAGGCTTCAGGATAAAAATACCTTATTTAACAAAGAAATACAGCTCAGCATCAAGCTATAGCTCAAGAATTTGTTAAATTTGAATTGAAATCTGACTATTTTGGTTTATAGCAGCTTAAGCGTTACTACTAGAGACTCAAAAAATATTACTAAATAAATGGGTCCAAAGTAAAGATGCTTGTTTTCTTTTCCATAGTCATATTAAGAAATTTTTCATTTATAAATAGTTCATGGTAATGACACGAGAGTTCTGAAATTAGCACAAATGTTTTCCTGTTGTTGTATCACTCACCCAACACTTCCCATGGTGCTGAATCTAAAGCCTTACGATTCTAGGTATCTCCTAATTAGCTAAGATATCATAGCTGTGGTGACACTGAACATTCGCTACAAGAAAAAGTTTTAAAAGTTTATTTTATTCTTTGATAGAAAAGAAAGAACCCTGAAATTTTCTACTTTTCTAATCAAAACAATAGTTGTAGTCCTTACACCACATTCTCCATTTCACACCGCCCCCCACCTTCTCTCAAAAGCTAATCTTTAGTTTCTCTTTATCCTCCTAAAATCCTCCTCTACCTCATCCTATTTCTGAACCATATCCTCAAGGAAGAGACCCGCAATCTTGCTTTTGGCAATTCTGACAGGTCTAATTAACAGGCAAATTCCTGTTAATACTTAACACCAAGAGCATGGTATAAACCAAACAACCCAACACTCCCAATAAACTCTTGCCCAAATGATCATATATTTACTTGATAATAAATATGACTTGAAAGGAAATGTAAAACTAATTACTAAATTTTCTGTTTACTTAAGGAAAATATGAAATTTTGGTTGACCAAATCACTAGGTACCCAAATAATGTTTATGTGATTAACTCACTTGGGAGTGGACAAAGTTTTTGGCCATATAAATAATATGGATGGCTATTTATCAAATAGTAACTTCCTACTTTTTGTCACTGTAACACAATTTCCCGCTGGAACTTACCTGATCTGTCACATCATACACAACTATGATGCCATGGGCTCCTCTGTAATAACTGGAGGTGATTGTTCGAAATCTCTCTTGGCCTGCTGTGTCCCACTATTGTAAAATAATCAAGAAATGCAAACAATTCATTAAGATAGAGTTGGGGAAAAGGGCAGGAGGAGGGAGGTAGGAGAACAGTTTAGTTTACATAGTTAAGGAAATGACCAGGGTTTGATATGGAAACACTAATAAATTGCATGGTAACAGCCAAATACCTGAAGGTCCAGAAAAGAAGGTACTCCCTCCAGTTTAGCTTTCAGTAATGCTACCAATATTGCAAGGTCTTTGAGATTAGGAACTATGTCATGCTCTTCATGTTCCCTACAACCCTTGGCACTGTGTAAGACCTTCAGTATGATTGCAAAAACAGGCTGACTTGATTAGGAAGGCAAGTGGCCTAACACCCCTTTAACACAGTACATTCAGGTAACTACCAGTCAAGATGACACTTTAACCATCTCTGGAAGGTATTATCTTTATTCTAGGGACAATGTAAGGAAGATGATTCAAAATACTTTTATAAAATTAATTTTAAAAGCAAGTTGCCACACTTGAACCATTTAGGCTTAAACACCAAAAACAAATGCTTATTTAAACTACTTCATTAAAGTTCTGGGTTTAAAAAAACAGGGAAAAACCTCAACTATTAGATTTTAAAAGTCTTGGTTTTAACAAGGACAAAGAATTTTGTTTAAATAGCTATTAGACAATGTCTCTTTTTAAAAAAGTGTCTACTGAGAATAGCTACCTACTGTACTGGTGAGAGGTAACATGCTGATTGATAGAGAAGTAACAGAATGGTTACTGTTAAAAAAAAAAAAAAAAAAAAAAGGACCTGAAGCTTAAGACAAGTGGAGATTAAGATGCAATAGCCTTATGGGGAGGGAATTACAAAGTTTGGAGGTACATCTAAGAACTTGTCATTAATCCCCTCTAATGTTTTGAATGACAAAATTAAAAAAACAAAAAACCAGTTCAGGAGCATTCAGTGAAATACTTCCTTTTCTAGAACTCAGCTGACACAAAGCTGTTAAAAACAAGTACAATTTTGGAAATTTTAATAGACTGGTATTAGTGTCAATTTTGTTAGATGTGATTAATGGTTACATAGTAAAATACAGATGCATACCAACCTATGTTTGGAATAAAATATAATGTCTGTAATTTAACATAACTCCAGAGAGAAAAATTAATGAAGGAAATAAAGTTAACATCATTAATC